AAATCGAAACGATGATAAAATCACGACTGTTAAAGACCCGGATACGGAATAACATGTAATCAACACATCAACTACGAAGCCCAGCGATGAACACGAGTACTGATAACTATATTAGGTTTGTGGTTGCAAGGCACATATGCTCTATAAATATCGCGCAGCTTGTGCCTTTATTATCCTTGTCTGTTTGTAGATTGCAAGAATAGCAGGATTTATTGGATCCATAAATTACAGGAGCGCTCATCAGCTGCTACCTCTCATTGCATAGCGTGAATAACGGAAGAGGGCGGACGCAAACACAACTGGCAACCAGAGCTAAGGAGCACTTGCCTAGTTGGCTTTTCAAACAGGAACATAGAACGCCTCGTTTCTCCATTACAGAACATTTACTAGATACGGGCCATTCTATGAACCCTAAAACTTCCTTCCGAGTACTTGTTCGAGCACGAGCAACTCGTACCTTGCGCTACTTGGAGGCAGCCTATATACAGCGGTCAAAGCCAGAACTATGTAAACAGTTGGAGCATGTGGTTAACCTAGCTTGGCCCCGGTAAATTTTGCTGCGAGATTTACACAGTCCCCTTCCTAACCTTTTTTCCTTCGACGTTTTTCCCCACCTTTTTGCTGCCCACAGTGTTTTAACTTGCTTACGTTATTGGTTAGCCTCTTGGCCACTTCCTATGGCCTTACTGTTTGTATCGATGTTTCTGTATGAATTCGATTTTATATATTCTCTTCCGTTATTCACGTTATGCAATGAGAGGTAGCAGCTGATGAGCGCTCCTGAAATTTATGAATCCAATAAATCCTGCTGTTCTTGCAATCTACAAATTTGCAGCTAGGAAACTTTTCTTTAAAAAATTCTTGTCTGTGACGGTTTCTGATTACGGACTTGAGTGAGAATCCAAAACGTCAGGCCAATAAACTTCTTGTTCTAGCAGTCGCAGTTTCTGAACTTTGCTTACTTCCTTAACCCGTCCGCTGCCACACTTGAACTGGGGCATGTGAAAGTGAAGACAGAATGGGACTGACATGGGGGTCCCCTAGTCACGACACATCAGCGCAGTCCTCTCTAAAATAAAACCATTTATTTATCCAGCCTGCCGTTGCCGCAGGAAATGCTTCGCTATAATTCGTGCGCAGGTCGCTGGTGCTGTATGGGACACAGGACGGAGCTCGTCATCCGCCGCCAGAGTCGAATTATCGGCTGTTATGCACGCAGCCAGCATACATACTGAGATATATTTGGAAAGAGTAAACAGAGAAAAGTGAGCGGAGTAGAGTAAAATGCAAAAGTTTAAAAATGGCCCGTCCGGTATGATTTGTTTTTGGATATGATGGTTAAAGTAAATCAAATAAAAAAGCGTAGGATGGGTGGGAAGGGCAAAATGCAGTGACAGGATCCACAACCTAGGTATTCGCGGTTTGGTTGAACATATCCAAAATGCTTGAAAGAGTAACCTCGTTTTCCGTAAGTCGGTGATCCTTTAAAAGGACGAGCAATGAGGATGGAAAGAGTGGAGAGCTTACGGTTCCAAATTCCAAAAGTGTGGGTACTTTCTGAATGCTAAGTTCGGAACACATCCGGAATTCGTTTCGAGGATATCTCCACCTAAAGTTTTTAAAAGAAATGATAGGCCAGAGGCTGGGCTTACGTTGGCCTGTCGCCAGTATGCACATCAAACCACATTGCATTTTCAGGCAGTTTGGTTCGAGCCTCATCGACAAATGGCTGGACTGAAGTTTTGAAAATAAAAATGGCATTTTTGTAAGGCAAAAGCAAATTACGCATGCTAATCACATTTATGAGACCACAATACTTACAAAGTGCTCCGAAATTCACAAAGCAACAGAGGACAGTGGATTTGACAAATGTACAAAACATGATTTTAAGAGTGATTTGTTACAGAGGGTATCAGAGCAGTTAATACACACTGAAATGAAAACATTTCCTAAAACCGTAGACAGTCCTGCCTTAAAAATGCCTTTTAAGTTGATAAGAAAATTGTAAACGCAGTTAATTGCATTGGAATCACCGCAGAGTGTAAACGGGCATCAGCATATAGATCTTCGTCTCTGCCCATCAGATGTTGGTCAAACAACAATAATGTCAGCCTATTCGATAGCTACCTAAAGTCTGCATCGGTTTCAGTTGCATCAACCTGACCAACTACTGGACTGCAAAACATGTCCTATCTGCCGCTGTTAAGGCTTTTTTTACCACACTTAGGATAGGCTTAAAGACAGCTAGGTTTATATGACAAAGGTAAGGAAAGCCGAAATATGAATGAGTCAATGTAATACCTCGACGGCAACCAGGGCACCAGCTTTGACCAGATTCATCCGGGGAAGCGATGGCATACACAAAACGCCTCTTGTCGGCGTGCTGGGCAAGGCTTTCCAACAGTTCTTTCACGTGAAGGTAAGCCATAGGGCTGAAAAGAGTATGCAGCAGTAAAATGAGTCCAGTTTTGAAGATTTGATCTTCGTAACATCCGCCTCGTAAAAAGACAATTAACTACGCGATAAAAATTGCGTTAATTCCAATACATGCAGACCAAGACGACAAAAGACGAAAAGTAAATGACCGCTACGAGTGCGCAGCAGGTATCCATTTTATTATGTTTGGTTGGTATTGTATGGAAAACTAAAACGCTCTGTAAACCCCTACAGGGAAATAAAATTGGCGCATTTGTATGCCTATCAAGAGTGGTAGATACCTAACGAAGAGCAAGGTTCCCTTTTAGTTCGCTAATTGCAATATACGTACCCCTTAGTGCAAAGCGCATTCGGAAAAGTCCCTGTTGTCATAAAATATGGGAGGAAAATAGGAGATCTTGTGCTTGGTATCTGAAAATGATCATGCAAGCTATAAGGACTTCATAGAAGGTTCACCGAGGGCTGGAAGAACTACCTATACAACCCAAAGGTACAGGTCGCTCAAAGGAGTGTGAGTTGTAATTAGACTGTAAACCTAGAACATTCAACTTATAGGCTTGGATGGAGCGGAGTATGGCAGGGCTAAAAAAGACTGCCAAAGCCCCACTTGATCGACGTCGAAAACTGGGTTATGCGGAAAGCTTAGATGGGCAGAAGAATCAGCCACATAGGGGACGTGTGTGCAAGCCATATTCCCTGTGCCAAGTGTGCCCAAAACATCGGACGAATGAACTTCTTGTTCCGGCAAACACTTCTCCTTCGCGACTGCTTTCGGTAATTGACATTTGCATAATTATTGATGTCATCTGTGTTGACGTTATTGCGCGATGAACAAGGTTAATAAAACTGTCGGTTTACCCATTTTTGTCTTGAAGAATAGTATTTGCGAGCCAAATTTTCTACGAGAAGACAACCACTAATATAAAGAGCTGTCAGCTCAAAGGAGTTAACACCATCGAGTTTCCCAAGACAAAATTGACACTAACGGGTAAAGCCTCCACCTTCATCGAAATAAATGCTACTGGTAGTGTTTCCTCTGCCAATGCTTAGCGTGTGAACTCGTCGAATTATCTGTCCCAACAGAATCAACCGATTGTATTGGGCATTCCTTTATTTCCGCTCGACGGACGAACGTTTATGTAGGTGACAACCACTACATTATAGTCCTTTTTATTGCAGTACAGGATCTTTGTCCTCAACGAGATAGTCTATAATCGCCTAGCAACACCAAAAAAGCATTCCGGTCCATCAAAGAAGGACGACTGCAGCGGTCGGGTATGCTAGTTATCACCCTATCCCCGCATCCAATGCTACTGCTTTTGACCCAACTTCATGAAGTAGCTGGCTACGCAAGGGGATCAAGTCACAATCCATTTAAACAGTGTCCGCCAAGACATCGCGGTGGTAGGCATAATTTATATATTCAGCTTGGTTCGCCTGATATTGTATATAGTCACGTATTGATAAGTAAACTCCGCGACACTGCAGTGTATTTGGCAGGTCCAAAGACAATCGACAGTGCAAGTACAAATGAAAATGCCGCAGAAGATCATGTAATCTGTTCGATTTCAACTTCCCTGGTAGCGAACCTGATGTCTACTGTGCTTTACGCCGATCTAAGCGCTAGGTGGTCTATATTGGCCAAGTTGGACAAAACGGCCCCACCACCACGTGATGTTGGGAGTGTGAGTACTCACATGCCCTCAAGGGATTCCCTAATTTCTTAAGACCAAGCATCCCTGCCCACTCGTCAGCCTATGTCAGCCGATGCGACGGCTGCTCTGGAGGGACTAATTCGGCAAAAAAGTCGATAGACCTCAAGAATCCTGCGGCTTATGAATTTCATGAACGAAGCATTTGACGCGAGCCGATGCAATTTTCAGGCCCTTGTGCGGCTTAGTATGCGTATAATTCTACAAGAAAGGTTAATCTTTACACGTTTTCATTGTTTTTCTAATGGTTCTGGATTTATGTTAATATTAAGATTGAAAAATCTGCTCAGTAAATTTGCTATAGCAAATTTGCGATATTATTGCTTATAAGCAATAATATCGCAAGATTAACTTCAGTTAACACGCTAAATCGGCTTAAATTAAGATAAAGTTTATCCAATTCATTTGTGTTGCTCAAAAATATTTAAAAAGACATGAAAACTACATGGGATAGCCTACCACTATTAAGATCGTCCCGTAAAGAAATGTGTCCGAATGCAGCCGAACGACCTCGTCTGCAGATAAATAAGCCCTAAATAGCCCATCTAAACGAAAACGTTGACGACGGTGGTTTTGACGTTAAACTGGTTATGTGTATGGAAAATATAAGTGCGTCGGGAAAACCAAATAGAAGTCCATAAAACGAAGACTTTAGCTCCGCGGACTGTTTACTTTCTCATTAAAACCCGTTGGCGT